AAGTGCCCACGATCAGTAGAGAATACTTAGGCGAAATTATAAAAGACGCAGCGGAAGGATTCCGACAATTGGGAATTCGTAACTCTAGACCTCCTTAATCTTGTCTCCAATCCTTATCCGTGTTGATTGATAGTTTTATTGCTTTCTAGTATTTGTTAGTTAATTAGATAAAAATAAATATTATTTTCTTTATAATTAGAAAATTGTTTGGACTTGTGTTTCTTAGCGATATTGAACAATTGTAGCTAAGCCTTAGTTTTCTGTAGGATTCGACTCCGGACTTTTAGACCGGATTATATTTGCAGCGACCGGTTATCCTTTTTAGGACTAGAGTTGGGTGTGATCAAATTTTTACGCCGTTGCCGGAGAACTAACGGTGTAGTTGCACGTGTACGTATTTCTAGGTTTCAAGTTTGAACTTTTTTTTTGTAGTATTTGATTTTTATTTTTTTATTTTTTAGTTTTACTTGTTTATTTGAGAAACACGGCATCTTGAAATTATGAGAGTTTCGGTGTTGGAAATTCTACTATTGATCTTCCTAATGCTTATTGTGGAGGAAACCACCCATGGTAAAATTATCAAAATATTTCCGAGAGCGAGTTATGTGCACCAACTCAATCTTATGTGTGGAATATGTGTGATATGTGTGGGGGTCAAGATGGTTACTTTCATGGTTGTGCACATATTTCTTATCCTCTCCCAAACCCTTATTATGATGGTTCTACTTTTTCTTGTGAAGTTACAAAGAACCCAGGCAAGCTGACCTGAAGGAGATCAAAGATATATTAAAGTACCTTATGAAACAAAGTAATGAGAAACAACTGTAAATACAAAGGCTAGGGGATACTAACCAAAGACAATAGGATAATATCCAAAGGCAAGAGGCAACTATTCTTAACCTGGAGGCACACGTGAGGCAATTGGTTGAAGCTTTACATGCTCAACAAATTAATATTTTGAATTGTAGCCAGGAGCAGTATGCATTAGAGACAGAAATTGAAGTGCCAATAGAAGGGTCCACATTAGAACACCAACAATCTATCAAACTAGAATTTGAGGATGCCGAGAATGTAGTAGAGCTACTAGAGTCAACCAAGGACATTGAGGATACATATTTAATTGACTCTAGTGTGATTGGTGTTGAGGGTGTTAAAAATCTTGAAGTTCATGTATTTGAGCGCGTTGGACCTCATTCCAAACACTTTTCTACCTTGTTTTCTCATGGTGAAATGAAAATGGATCCTTATGAGCATACAAAGAAGTCAACGGAAGAGGTAGATGAGCCTTCTATTTTGAAGGTTTCATGGCCGTCTAGGCAAGGTGACACTCCTCGGTCTAGAGCCAAAAAGTGCATGAGAATTTATTTAATTTTTGGCTCGCAATAATTTGTACCGCCCCGGAGCCTAATCATAAACTTGAAGCAAAACTTGGGGTTCAATTCATAAGCTCGAGGTGGAGACAAATGCCGCGACGTTAAATCTAGCGCTTGTTGGGAGGCAATCCAGCTTTACTATTTTCTTTATTTTTATTTTATTTTATTATTATTGTATTATTCTTGTAGTGTTATTTTTTATTTCTCTAGGAGCATGGGAAGCAAGGCCATTAGAAGAAAGCAAAAGCGGGAGAGAAGGTTAAGTGTGGGATGCCCGCACAAAGAATCAAGTCTGGAAGAAGTCTGAGTACCCCATGAGCTGCTAATGCTTCGGCCTATGGCCTACTAGGGAGTGTTTATTTCTTGTAGTGTTATTTTCTTTCTTACCCTCTTGTATTTATAGGTGTGCATTGGGGACAATGCACAACTTTAAGTGTGGGGTGAAGAGACTGTTTGGGTGGATTCCTATGCTAGTTTTGTTGTATTATTTTATATGTTTTGAAAAAAAATTAAAAAAATAATTAGGTAGAAATATCCCTCTTGATTTTTCTTATGACCACGGTCTTTTTCAAGGGATGACTCTTTGAACCGGGTAGTAATTTATTTTTTTAAGTAGAATTTTATAAAAGTTTTGGACTTTTCCCAACGATGGCCTTCCTAGTTAGTTTTCTTGATGGTTTAAAGTCTAAAGAAAAATACAAAAAAAAATTCTTTTTTTCAACTAATAATGGAATGGGAAGAACTTGAGTATCTATGCATTTTGACATGTTTTATGTTGGGGCTTAGAGCTGGAGCATTTGCACTGAGTACTTTCTTCTTTATTCTTGTGACTATATGCCTTGAGAGTATATGTGTTTTTTTTTACGCTTGGGCTCGCCTATTGACTCATGTTGTTACTTCCTAGTGTCTGGATTATATTATGATTGTGCTAGTTGTTTTAACTTGAGAGTCGGGTCTGAGCTATCCTGAGTAAGTCATGTGCATTTGTGTGAGGTGAGATTTTGGTTGTACTCTATGCCATACCTTATTAGTCTAGAACTTGCCCCGTATGTGAGTCGAAGCGAAATGATTAAGTCTTGTGAGTTTAGAAAATGATATAGGCGTTTCTTTGATTGATGCTTCAGCCTATTTGCCTACCAGTGATAAAATTATCCTTTGTTAGCCCATTTGAGCCTATAAACCTTTTCTTTGGTACCCACATTACAAGATGAATCCCTTTTGTTCTTAATTGAATCTTGTTGAACCTTTACCTGCGGAAGAACCTATGTCGCTAGAAGAAAAGGAAAAGAGATTGGGTAGTTTTTGAGTGGAACGATCGAAAGGCCAAAAGGTGCATGTGCATATTGAGACAGCCACTAGCTGAAATACTAATTTATGGAAAGTGTTGAAAAGATTTTGAGAAAAAAGAAAAAAAATACAAAATTAAAAGAAAATCCGTCTAATTCACTTTGATATGTGCTAGTGCTTATGTAGATGTGCTTAAAGTCGATGGGCTATATTAGGTACAATTTCGTAGCGATATGTTGAGTGATCATGAAAATTATGTGCGTAAAAGTTAAAGTGGATTGTATTAAAAGTGCTTAGGAGGGTTAGTCACTATTATCCATATCTATCCTACCCGTCCCTTAGCCTACATTAGACCTAATTGATCATGGACTTTACGAGCTTAAAATTAGTAGAGACTTACATTACTGGCAAGCCTATGGTACGAGCTTTGGGGGCACATGAGTTTCTTTGCGAGAGTGAGTAGATTCTTTCATTGTGTGAGTCCTTAAATTATACTTGAATTCATATTTGAGTGTGCGGACTGATTACCCTCTTTGTTTTGTTGGTGAAGGCACATGTTTTACAACAGATTGGTAAGGAACTCGTATCTTTAGTTTGCACAAGAAGCGAGTCACAAAGAGGAACATAGTGGAGTCAATTTTTGAGGCTAGGATGTTAGAAGAGTCACACAAATATTTTAAATAATCTTGTCATGAATTTAGAACTTGATGAAATGTATGAACAGTGCATATATTGGGTTGCAAGTGTTGATATAAACCATTGTCATTGGTGTGATGCTTCAGTATGTTTTGAAAAGTATTTCTTGCCTATGTGCTTAATTTTAAGTTGCTTGAGGACGAGCAAAAGTTTAAGTGTGGGGTGGTGATAAATAATGAAAAGTACATATTTTTGAGTATATTTTCATATTAATTCTTGTGTGAGTTGCGGGAGTTTACGGGATTTTCAAAGTAAAATATGCTCATTATGTATTTTTTATGTGTAGGAACGAGTTTGGATGATAAATGATCAAAATATGACAATTTGACACAAAAAGAAAGAGATGGAAAGAATTGGGAGCTCGTCTATTCTCGTGTGTGGCACGAAAACGGACGCGAAAAAGGAGAAAAGTGAAGGCACAAAATAGTGAAGTGAAGCAAAGGCACAGATCGCTTCGCGAAATGGAAGAATTTCAACAGCTGAATCCGCGTCCATGGCGCGCGGAGGCAGTCGCGGACTCCAGCTTCTCCCATCCGAAGTTGGATTGAAAAATTCCACCTGTCATCAACCCTAAGTGAGATAAATACATCCTAAAACGCAAACTTTGGGGGAGGAGACATTACTTTAGGGTTACACAACACCTTTGGAGGCAAGAACACACTTGGAGCAAGGAGAATGATTCAACTCCACGTTTTTCCCTCTTTCTTCCTCTATTTCCATTATTGGTTGTGAATTCTAGTATTGTAGTTTTTCATGCTATTATGAATAACAAATTTGTTATTTAGGGTTTAGACGGAACCTTTTGGAGGATGAATTGTTGTTAAGTTTTAATATAATTTAGCCTTTGAATTTCTTTACTCGTTCAACTACGTGCTTATTTCTTTTGGTTGAATAGACATCAATTGACTGTGCCTATTTATTATGTATTGCTTGGGAAAGGGTACACATTTAGGTAGTTGTAGAACAACGTCACTCCTAACGTATATGAGGAATCAATACGACAGGTTTAAAGGTGGGTTTAGGAATAACAAAGCCTTGACGTGGTCATAGCTAGTGAGCGGTGAGATTGTGCCAGCAAGCGTAGTTCAGAAGAATATGTCTAGTAAATTGTTGTAGTTGCTCGGGAGGGAATTACGACACCTAAAGTGCTCACGATCAGTAGAGAATACTTAGGCAAAATTATAGAAGACGCAGCGGAAAGGATTCCGACAATTGGGGAAATCATAACTCTCAACCTCTTTATTCTTGTCTCCAATCCTTGTCATTGTTAATTGATAGTTTTACTATTTTCTAGTATTTGTTAGTTAATTAGATAAAAATAAACATTATAATTTTTATAATTAGGAAATTGTTTGGACTTGTGTTTCTTAGCAATATTGAACAACTGTAGCTAAGTCTTAGTTCTCTCTGGGATTCGACTCCGGATATTTAGACCGGATTATATTTGCAACGACCGCTTATCCTTTTTAGGAATAGAGTTGGACGTGATCAATATTGAATAGTATTGGGGAAATCTTGTACCGCCTTATCCCTTGTTTGGTTACTAATCCTGGGATAAGTTATACCAGGATTAAAAATAGTATTAGGAAAATCTTATACCTACCAAAAGGTGGAACAATAATCTCATGATAAGCTATCCAAGGATAAAGCAATAAAATTGACAATCCCAAAATTAATACAATATACGAAACAGTCAATAAAAATAATACGACAATAACTAATCCCAACATAATTAATCCCTCTTCAAACCTTAATTAGTCATCTGAAACAGCTCAAGTATATCAAGTTCCAGGGCACGTCTCATATACTTCTACCAGAAAACTAATTTCAGAACCAAAGTCCTTTTTCTTTTTACACAACTAGTATTGACATATGGGTTAGTCAGGCAGATTAACCCAAAATTACGACACTTAAATTGCACATTTCATCAGCAACTTACAAGATTTAACACACAAAATAAGCAGAAAGAAAGAAAAAACAAGTTACAGATAGCAAATAGAATATAGTAATGTGACAATGACAAAGTTATTGATGTCACTGTCTAATCCTCCAGAATTTGCTGTTTTTCAAATTCAGCAATTTCAGCCAGTGAGCTAAGACTGTTGTTTACTGTTTCATTTCTACTTCTGCACTGAAGCAACTGTTCCCTCAGACTCCGTACTAGCTCGTTTAGTCTCTGGATGTTCTTCTCCTGTGATAAAATAATCTGCAAATTTTGAAAACACCAGTTAGAGCAACGCTATAACAAGTCTTCATTGACTATTCCTATTAAAATAAGCAGTCCCCAGTGTCTAGGTAAATAAGACTTACTGCAATAAAACAATTGCTCTCTCGCGACCAAAAATATTAACATGAAGATTTCATAAGAAAAAAAAAAATTATGACCGCGTTCAATAGGCTAAAGCGGAATTAATTAGTAGTGGTATGACAGAAGAATAGGGAAGAAACAAGTGCAGTAAACTTGTAATATAACCGGAGGGTTCATTTTTTATCATTTAACAGTAACAAAGAGGAGTCAACTCGTATTCTGTAAGATTAGGTGCAGGGAAGAGAAGAAAACTAAGAAAATTAATTTTGAAAAGTAATGTATGATGAAAGAGAAACAAGATAGTAGCAAGTGGTCGAGGACGTTAAACCATCATTAAAAGCGCCAAGTTGAGCTGTAGCACCAGAAAATTTCTGGCCTATGCCGGGCCAACTCGGTTGCATTACATCTCTTTGCTCCCCACACAATTACTACATATTTTTGTTTTTTGCTTTTGGCACTTGCTCATACTCATTCCATTCTTAACGGAGCAGTGACTTCCGATGGAGAAAAAATTGGGAGGAGTAACTATGACCAAAACAATCAAATATTTGTAAAATGTAGATTTTGCTTTACCTTACTAATTTCACAATCATGCGTGTTTTGTTCTTTTCTTTCAGATTTTAAAATTCAAATATATTAGTGCAAAACTTATGCCATAGGAAAACTGAAAACAATCGTGATAGCATCTATTCTAATGAAGCATGTCAAATGATAAACCAGCTAAAATTAGAAAAATTGCACTATGAACACCACAACCTAAGAAATCAAACTTTTTGTCCCAAATCAAACAGGTATATATTTGGTGCAGCACCAACTTTTTTTGCTCTTGAAGGAAGCAACTTTATTTACTGTACTTCTGTTGCTTTTTGTTATATTTGGAGGGTTCTTTTACCGACACATATGCTTTTGAGTCACCTTTCCCCATCATACAAAGAGCATCGATGGGGATATGTAGATCTTGAATGACTCTAACTTGTCTGCATTTAAGCACCTCAGTTCTGCCTAGTCTTACATCAAATTCATTATTGTAATGATTTTTTTTTAAAAAAAATTGAGCAAGTGTATTACTTCATTTTTCTAATGCTGGCAAAAATTGATATAGTTAGTCTCACTTTTATTCTAAAGCTATTAATCTCTGGAGTGTTTCTACAAAACTCAAGCTTCTGGTTAGCTCATTCACTAGTTTCGCCAATTAACACGATATCGTCCACAAATAGCATACACCACGAAACCATATCTTGTATATATGGGTAACCCATCCATAATTCAAGGCAGATTCCTGACCCACGATTAAGGGAAACTCCAATACACCACTCTATTCTCGCACTTGCGACATCTCCTTCCTACAAATCCTTTTATGGTATTTATGTATCTAATGAAAATCTTTTCTTCTCCAACACCCACCAAAATACTTCTCTTGGCACTCTATCATACACTTTCTCCATGACAATAAAATAATGTGATCCACTTTCTCTCCTATACTTTTTCAATCTTCCAACAAAATATAGCCATCTGTTGTGGATCCACCGAGCATAACCTAAGCTGGTCCTCTGTCACTTTTATAATGCCTTACTTTTTCACTTCATCACTTTTTACTAAAATTTCGTCGGACGACTCACAGGTTTAATGGTACTATGATAATTTGCATAACTTTGAATATCTCATTTGTTCATATATGTTGGCACCAACCAATCGTTTGGCATGTTTCACTCCTTAATATAACATTGAATAATTTGATTCCACCTCTCCTAGACACTTCCTAACACTTATATGGATAACATCTAGCTTACAAGCTTTTCTTACCCTCGTTTTTTATGTGGTATCCTTTACTATTTGCAGGCCAAATTCTCCGAATGTAGCTAAGGTTACTATCTTCAATGGATGTATGGAGAAATTTCACCAAAAATGAAAATCTACAAATTTGTTCTAGTGAATGAGTTGAGGAATTGATCAAGAAAGCCTTACCATCTCTTTTATTCTCACAACCTCCTGTAAACCTTGTTGGAAATCATCTTTAATAGATTCAACTTAGTTTAAGTCTTTACGTCTCTTTTTACTCGAGTGTGCTTAATAGATTTTATTATCCCCATTATGCATTCCTAACTTTTGATACAATCCATCTAGAATTTTATCCAAGCTTTGGTAGCAGCCTTCTTAGCTTTCCTATTCGCTCTCTTATAATCTTCCAAGACTTATCTAAATTCTGCTTTTGGAATCATTTTTATACCACTCTCCTTTTCTCTACACCTCTTCCTTCCACCACCGCGATTCTATGATCGAGGTCCTAGACCTTTGTTTAGACACGCCTAGAACTTCACTTGCTACTATCATAACGTACGTTGTCATTTCCTTCAATAGCTTCTCCTTAAAAGTTATTTGGTTTATACCATTTAGTCCCACCGCCAACTTCGTTTGCTTGCAGCTCTCCTCTTTCACTCTATTCTTTCGCTTCAAATCCAGAACTACAAATTATGTTGGGTAAAACGCTTCTGCTGGTATAACCTTAAGGTCTTTACATGGAACTCTGTCACCTTTTCGGCAAGAATGAAGTCTATTATGTTGTGGTTACTTCCACTCTTAAATGTTATCAAGCGGGACTCCCTTTTTTTTCAATGTACTATTTGTTAGCCAAAACTAAATCACAAACTAAGGCGAACTCTAGAAACGCTTTTCCTTCTTCATTCTTTGGACTATAACCATATCTTCCATGTACTCGGATGAAACTGTCACTGTGCTACCCACAGGTCCATTCAGATCTCTCCCAATAAAGATCAATTGGTCATTTGGAATCCTATTGGACCAAATTATCCATATCTCGCCAAATATAATTTTGGTTTCCTTATCTAATCTCACATTCATGCGGCAAGCACTTATGATGTTAATTGTCACCTTTCACCACACTAGTCCTAACAAGATAATGCTATCACCACTTCAGTTTACCTCTACAACTTATCTATAAGTCTTGGCTCTAAAATGATTACTATCTCGTTGCCATTTATCTATCCCACAATTTATAACTTGTATTGCCAATCAGAATCTCTCCAACTTTTTCCAAGTCTACTTACACAATATCCTCAGTTCAATGCATTTGAAATTAACATTACTAATTTCATCAGATTTTAATTGTTAAGAAGCTAATTTTGATTCATATTTGTGTGGGAAAAAAGTAGGAGCACAGACTAATCTGTTACTACCTTTGTTGATTTTATCATGTCACAGTGATGGTGGGACCTCATAATAAAGAGAGGATACTTTGATACATATCTATCAGTTAGTTAAATAGTGGGGAATAAAGAGAAACCTCCAATAACGGTGGATTTATATAAATATGTCTCATATTTCTTTGCTAGGATAAAAAACTTATCCCCAAGTCTACATCCAGAAGGCTTTATTTATTTAAGTTTTTTTATTTTTATTTTTTTGATGTCCGGGCCAGCTTGTTGGCACCTCGACGATTCCACGGGATACCTGCCTCCCACCAGCACAGGTACCGGGTAACTTTATCCACCAAAGTATGGACAAATGGGAAGAAACCACCTAATGTTTTTGCCTCTGCTGAAAATTTGAACTTGAGACCTCATGGTTTTCAACCCACTTTATTAACCACCAGATCACACCCTTGGGTGCACCTCTAGAAGGCTTTATTTTTTTGTTCATTTATTTTGTCAGATATAAGCAAATGATGGCCACCTTGAAATTAGAAAATAGGGTAAAGTGCAATTTTTTTTCTGTTTGACTTTTTCTTTAATCGGTTTTTTTTTTTTCTGTTTGACTAACACTGTAGTGCATGAGCCATTTTATTATTTAGTGGGGCCTAAGGACTATGTCAACTTTTAGGGGATTGCTGATATAGAGAAGGACCTTATTATCAATTCAGCAGCTGTTCCCTCCAGAAGCAAAAAATTTTGATTTCCTCGATCCTATATATTTTTCTTGGGACACAAGTTCTAGAAGGCAACTCCTAGTCTGAAATCAGATGAACTCCAGGAACTTCTTGCAAGGCTCTACGAGATTAGAGCTAATAAAGATGGGTATAGTACGTTGAAAATGATAAAGATATAGCGCATATCCATGTTAAATCCTCTGTGGTTGCTGCTTTATAGAAAATAAAGGATATCCTTGTAGAATTGACAGGAAATTGCTAGCTATCATGCATTGAGTGAAAATCATGGGACCGGGATTCACATTTCAGCAGTAAAAAAAAATGCTAGGTGAATTCTTCCCATCTACTCACCGTATCATAGCAGGATGGACGAAGTGGAGGCTCGCTTCTGGTGTCTTGTGTGATAAGAATATGCCGTTGAAACTTAAGGGTAAGTTCTACAAGGTAGTGGTCAGACCGACTGTTGTATGGGGCAGAATGTTGGCCAGTCAAAAAGTCACATGTCCAGCATATGCAAGTAGCGGAAATGAGGATGTTGAGATGGATGTTTGGGCATACTAGATTGGATAGAATTAGGAATGAAGTTATTCGGGACAAGGTGGGAGTGGCCCCTGTGGAGGCAAAGATGCGTGAGGCAAGGCTGAGATGATTTGGGCATGTTAAGAGGAGAAGAACAGATGCCCCAGTCAGGAGATGTGAAAGGTGGGCCTTGGGAGGTGAGAGGAGGGATAAAGGTAGACCTAAGAAGTCTTGGGGTGAAGTGATCAGGCAGGACATGGCGCAGCTTGAGCTGACCGAGGACATGACCCTAGATAGAAGGGTGTGGAGGTGGAAGATTAGGGTGGAAGGTTAGTAGTAGTCGGGCATTTCCCTGTGTCTCCCCTAGTTCGATAGTATTAGTGCTAGTATGGTACCCTTTTTTCCTTAGTTTGCTATAGCCGCGTGTCTTGTTCTATTACTACTTACCTTTAGAAATTCCGTAGTTTGCTAGCAGGACTTCGTCTTATTCTCGTGT